AGACATATTTGCAATATGGAGCTATGATGGGAAGATGGTCTATGAGAACATCATTCAGGCCACCGAAGATTTCGATTCCAACTACTATATAGGGGAAGGAGGCTATGGAATTGTTTACAAAGCGAGTGTTGTCGACAAATCGAGTGGTTGCTGTAAAGAATCTTCGCCAATCACAAGAGGGCGAGTTCACCAATTTCAAAGCTTTTAGAAGTGAGGTTCGTGTGTTAATTGGCATACGACATCGAAATATTGTGAAGTTATATGGGTTCTCGCTCACATAGAAAGCACTCCTTTCTAGTTTATGAGTTCATAGAAAAGGGAAGTTTGAGGAAGATTTTAAATAATCGAGGATCAAGCAATGGAGTTAAACTGGATGAAAAGACTTAATGTCGTTAAAGGGGTGGCAAGTGCATTATCCTATCCGCACCATGACCGCACTCCTCCAATCATTCATCGAGACATTTCTAGTAATAATGTTCTTTTGGATGAAGAATATGAGGCTCATGTTTCTGATTTCGGCACAGCAAGGCTCTTGATGCCGGACTCAAGCAATTGGACTTCATTTGTTGGCACTTTTGGATACACGGCTCCGAGTGCGTTTCTTGATTTCTTTCCTAACATATAGATACATCAATAATAAAAATTTTCTTTATATATTTCCCGCTTTAATTATAAAGCTAATTTTTTTGTAGAACTAGCTTACACAATGAAAGTGAACAAAAAATGCGATGTCTACAGACTTTGGAGTGGTAACAATGGAAGTAATTATGGGAAGGCATCCGAGTGATCTCATCTCATCTCTTTCATCATCGAATTTCCCTCGTCATCATCCTCGTAAATACACCAAGCATACATTGTTGAAGGACATTATAGACCAAAGGATCCCACTTCCAAAAATCATGTTGCAGATGGTGTAGTTTACATGACCAAAATGGCACGTGCATGCTTGGTTGCTGATCCCAAATTTAGGCCAACCATGAGAAAAGTTGCTTCACAGACTCATAGTTCGATGGCCTCCATTGCAGCAGCCATTCTCCACAATAACATTGCAAGATCTGTTGAGTGGCCGAGAATGTTGTAGAAAAGCTTCTATATATTATATTACATACAAAGTCGGTATGTTCCTTTGAATAATTTTGTAATTTTGTTTGTAATGCATTATTTCTCTGTTTTGTATTTTGTTTTTTCAACAATCATTATGTTTTTTTAATTACCTTCAAAATAGGGAAAGGAGCATCAAAACCTGTGGGCTTTCGCCTTTCCAAGCTGGTATTTCTCAAGACAGTCTATTCTCACTCAAGTCAAGAAACATCAACGAGCTACAACTCCTTAAAGAAGCTGGCAATTCTCTCAAAAAGTTGTCTTTACTTAAAGTTTAAAGCAACAATAATGATCCTATTGAGCTTGGAATTTCACCTGACAAATTTTTGTTGCATAGATTCAGAACAATCATTTGTTGCATAGGGCACCATAAACCTGGATTGCCTCTCAAATGGTCAGGAATGCTATCATACTATAATATTCCTCCATTTTTGAAAATAAGTCCAGCCAAACCGCAAATTCTTCAGGTGATGGGCATATGTCTTTGGTTAGTCCTCCTTTATGATATCTAACAAACTTAATTTGAAGCATCGAATTTGAGGCTTTGCTTGACTGCATCCCCACCATAGCCATACAGCTTGAACTCAAACTTAGCATGTTTAGAATAACAAGTCAAGCCGTTGCTACACTTTATTGCCCCCTACTGTCTTCAAATCCCAGAATTTCATTCCTTCGCCTCCTTTGCAGGGTTTTGGCATTGAAAAAGGCTGTTTCTAATTCGCAGTTGCAACTAATCGACCGGCAACTTTTTATGTAAATAATGTCCCTTTTCCCAAGCATCCTTTATGGAGTTTTTCATGCTCATATCTAAATGATTCCAGCTTGGGGCACCTTTTCTGTTTTTCCTACTTTCCAAAATTCAACTGTTTTAAGGATAGCCATACTATAATCGAGAAAGAACGTCTAAATAGTTCAATGACACATTTAGTATCACTAGCGCCTAGTTATTAACTTTTCTATATTTCATTCTGATTTCTCCTTTAATTAATTTCAATGCGAGGCTTCAGTTTTCTCCATTAATTCCTTCTAATCCTCCACTCTTGTAGTTGGTTCAGGAGGCTTTGAGTTTGGGGAGGATATTTGTGAAATATGCCATGTGAGATCTTACGTGGCATTTAGTTCATGTCATCACTATTTCTAACATACTGTAATTTTAGATAATAACAGAATTTTAGACGGATAAATTCACGCATGCTAATATGATTAATAAAAGTTTAGATTGCATATTTTCTATTCAACATTAAAAAAACATGTTAATATGATTAAAAGTTATAAAGTTGATGATTATTTGGTTCAATAAGCCTAGTTAAATTATTATTTTTCTAACGTTATGGTTTATTTCAATTTATCTGAAAGTTTAGAATGTTTTTGAGTTATTATTTTTCTATAGGAGATCCAATGAGCCAAACTACATGATTCAGATCGAAAATAAAGTTTCAAAAACTTTGTCACACAAGTCAATTGGGTCTTGGTGATTGGTGCCACACTTTCTTACAAAATTTGTCTGCAAAACTTAAAGTTGGAATGCTTTTTCTAAAGTCCAAGAATTTGTGCGACGACTAGGAACAGTTATCTGGACTTCATGATTTCAAGCCTGCAAATTTATTCAGTCAATACTGCGTTTACTTGGTTGCACATGTCATTTTGTCCATGAATCAAGTGGGTTTGGTTTATTTCTTGTTTGATTATTCGTGTCATTTTGTGCTTGGATTATAGCTACAGCCCGGCACAACAAATTAAGAGTAACTGGTTTAAATGGCAAGCTGGAAATTAGAGTCCTAACGAGTAGTTCTTATGAAGGTAACTTTCAATCCTATTTGGTTTCGTTGTTATTCTTTTGTCTTATATACCGTCTACAAAGAAAAGTCTTATAGTTCTTATGGAAAATAAAATTTTTTAACTAGTAGACCAACTTCTTGAAGTAAATTAATACCTGCAAATCGGGATGGTTCAGCAAGAAACAACAAAAAACGACTGCAACAGAAACTATATATTGAAACCAGAGTGTTATAATTAAAGAGGAAAGCCTTTCTAATAATTACCATTATTTAACAGAAACCAAAAGCAAAAATAGAGTGTTTAATTTTTATTTTTTAAAAAATTATGTTGAGAACATTACATTAAAAAGGAAGAAAACGCTAAAAATGAGAGATTGAATTGGTATAGTTCAACTAGATTAATACACATCTTATGTAGGTGCAGATATTCCTTGATGAATTGAATTCAACACCAAATTTGGTTATGAATCAAGGTTTCTACCAGTGTCCGTAATATGCCCCCGCAAGCTGATCGTGGTGTCAACTACTGATAGCTTGTGCCTATGATCTTCATGCAAGCTTCTTGAGAGAGGCTTTGTTAGGGAGTCAGCAAGCTGGTCTTGGGAGGCAACATGGACAACATGTAGAGTGTTAGCTTGTACTTGAGCACGAACAAAGTGAAAGTCCAGACTGATGTGCTTCATCCTGCTGTGGAAGATCGGGTTTTTGCAGAGGTACGTAGTGCTAATGTTGTCACAAAACACTGTGGGAATTGAGGTGAGAGGTAAATGAAGTTCACTGAGGAGGTTTGTAATCCAGTTGAGCTCAACTACTGAAGCTGCAACAGCACGATACTCAGCTTCAGTTGATGAGCGAGCTATTGTCCTTTGTTTCTTAGAGCACCAACTGATGGGGTTGGCACCTTAAAACACAACATATGCTGAAGTTGATGTTTTGTCATTGAGATCTCCTACCCAGTCAGCATCTGAGTAAGCCTTAAGAGCTGGAGATGAGGAAGCTTGAAGATGGAGACCAAAGGAGATGGCTTGTTTGAGGTAGCGAAGCACTCTTTTGGCAGCTGTCCAATGAGAGGCGCGAGGATTGTGCATGAGTTGGGAGAGTTTGTTCACCGTATAACAGATGTCAGGATGTGTAAGGGAGAGGTACTGGAGAGCCCCAATTAGCACACGAAATTGTTTGGCATCAGTAGTAGGTTGGTCACTAGCAGCAACTAGTTTTTCCGTTGTGGACATTGGGCTATGAACTCCCTTTACTTCAAGCATGTTATGCTTGTATAACAGATCAGTAATGTATTTCTGCTAAGATAAAAATAGACCTTGTTTGTTTCTTGTAACTTCAATGCCCAGAAAGAAATTAAGATCCCCGAGATCCTTGAGGGAAAATCGAGTAGCAAGAGCATGGACTACCTTTTCAACTGTAGTCGAAGAGTTCCCTGTGAGTATAATGTCGTCCACATATACTAACAGAAATATAAGTGTACTTCCTTTGGAGAATATGAATAGTGAGGCATCTGATTGAGAGTTTTGAAAACCATGTGAGAGAAGAAATGTTCTGAGTTCTTGGTACCATGCCCTTGGTGCCTGCTTGAGGCCATAAATGGCCTTGTGAAGTCGACATACATGATTTGGAAACTGTGAGTATGAGAATCCAGGTGGTTGCTTCATAAACACACATTCCTTGAGGCTGCCTTGAAGGAAGGCATTATTTATGTCAAGCTGACGCAATGGCCAATATTGTTGGACAGCAAGAGCCAATATCAACCGTACTGTGGTAGGCTTGATAACTGGACTATATGTTTCAAAAAAATCCACTCCCAATGGTTCCATCAGGCTTGCGTTTAATTCTGTAAATCCATTTGCATCCCACCAGATTTTGTGATGAGTCAGGGGGAACAAGATCCCATGTTTGATTATGAACTAAGGCATCAAATTCTGTGTTCATAGCTGTGCGCCAGTGAAGATGTTTTTGAGCTTGTGCAAAGGAGGAAGGAGTAGTATCAGTAGTCACTGCAAGATAATCAAATATAGCTTTAGGTTTAAAAATATGATTTTTTGATCTAGTTACAATACCTGAGGGTGCTGGGTGAATGGGAGGGCTGACTGATGTTGAAGGAGTGAGACCATGATGAGCACTCGTAGAAGCCTCGGTATTGGACGTGAAACTTGTGGCTGCTGGAGTAGGAGGTTTACTGCATACAAGTATAGGACTAGGAATTGGAGTAGTAAAATCATGAATAGTTTGGCTGATTGGGTTGGGCTTAGGTGGTATGTCATGGCATGGAGATACATTCGTCCAACTAGTGATTTGAGATGGAGTTACACAAACGACATGGGATGGGTGATTTTGGAAAGGAAATGTGTCTTCAATGAAGACTACATGTCAAGATAGGTATATGCGAGAAGTTGTAGGGTCTAAGCACTGGTAACAGTAGTGGGATTTGGAATAGCCAAGAAAGACACATGGGTTGGATTTGAGTTCTAGTTTATGATGTTGATGAGGTTTAAGCCATGGATAACATAGGCAGCCGAAGACGCGAAGGTGGTGATAGTTAGGAGTAGTGTGAAACAGAGATGCAAATGGTGATGTGTTTGGACAATTGGGAGTGGGCATTCTATTTATGAGATATACTATAGTCTGACATGCATATGTCCAGAATTGTAGTGGTGTAGAGGAATGATGAAGAAGAGTGAGTGCTGTTTCTAGGATATGTCTGTGACGACGTTCAGCAACTCCAACACGTTGTGGTGTATAGAGTGGAGAGAAAAGATGTTGAATCCCGTTAGCTTATAGGAAGTGAGTGAGTCCAAGGTACTCACCACCTCCATCTGAGTATACTGTAATAATGGGCAAATGAAAGTATTTTTCCACAAGTAATTTAAACTTTTCAAACACTGCAGTAACTTCAGATTTTTGTTTGATTGGATATAGCTAAATGTACTTCGTGTAATGATCTACAAAGATTACATAATAACGAAAATCATCACAAGAAGTAATTGGAGCTGGACCCCAAACATCTGTATAGATTAGTTCAAGTGGTCTGGAGCTTGTTAAAGAGGAAACACCAAATGGTAGTTTGTGACTTTTATTACAAAGGCAAGAATTGTAAAAATTTGAAACTGAAGATTTTGAAAAAAGAAGATTATGAGCAGTGAGAACTTGCTGCAATGTGCGTGTGTTTAGATGGCTAAGGCGTTGATGCCATAGTGAGTATGTATGTCTGTGGCTTGCAGAAAAAACTGGAATGGAAGATGATTTTTGTGTACTTGGCCATTCATAGAGATGTCCCTTACTCTGGCCTCTGACTGGGCATGGGTATGAATGGTGCTGAATGGTGCTGACTGGGCATGGGTATTATCCATCCACATAGTTCATGAGATCATACCCAAGTAACAGAGTAGTAAGTTGTGCCCTCCATGTTGGATAGGTGCTACTGTTGGTGAGTTTAAAGGGAAGTTGGGCTGCAGCATTGAAACTAATCAGATTAGGGAGGGATGGTGTTGTCTGGGTTACCATGCTTGAGGCAGGGCTGGTTCGTGGTTGGTTATTTTGGTTGGAGGATGAGGTGGCTTCCATGATTTGTTTCTGTTGGATCTAGCTCGTTGGAGCTTAATGGCTCTGATACCATATAAAATCAAAGCTTAACAATGCACAGTTTGTATATTTCAGCCTCATCTATTACATGTACTGCAGCTCTGTATATATAGGAGCTGTAGCTGCAGGATAAATACAAAGCAGGATAATCCTTAGCTAAGATGTTTACATAGAAACTCTCTACTAGATAAGCTTGAGTTGTTGAGCTAAAGTTTATCCTGATATTTTCTATACAAAGAGTTGTATCTAATCAAGGTTTCTACCAGTGTCCGTAATATATATTACATACAGAGTTAGTATGTTCCTTTGAATAATTTCCTAACTTTGTTTATAATGCATTATTTCTCTGTTTTGTATTTTGTTTCTTTAACAATCATTATGTTCTTTTAATTACCTTCAAAACAGGGAAAGGAACATCAAAGCCTGTAGGCTTTTCACCTATCCAAGCCGGTATTTCTCAAGATAATCTATTCTCACTCAAGTCAAGAAACATCAACGAGCTACGACTACTTAAAGAAGATGGGAATTCTCTCAAAAAGTTGTTTTTACTTAACCATAAGATTCTAGTTCTAGGCTATATATGCCAAAAAAAAAAAGTCCGCTCCTTCCAAAATTTCTCAAGATTTATTATCTAGCTAACCTGTTTTTCAGCACTGAATCTGATTGTTATGTCCTTAAGCTATTCAATTTTGTGGTCGAAAAGTGTGGACCCTAAATTGTGCCCATAAATAATCAAGAGAATTAATTTTGAAAATGTACTCTTTTTTTCACTAGCATCCCGATTCTTGAACATGATGTCTGAACCTAACTAGTTAACAGATATGGTAGTGAGAACTTCACAAACTTAATTCCCTAAAACCAGGGCACCTTTTCTATTTTTGCTACTTCCCAAAATTCAAATGTTTAAGGATAGCCATACTATAATCCGGACATAACGTCTAAATAGTTCAATGACACGTCAAGAAATGCAACAATCCGACGTAAATCTCAAGGAGAGATTCAGCTAGTTAATTACGCAAAAAAGAAGTATCGGTCTTTTTCTTTCTTTTTTCCTTAGCACATAATGCCAGAAAATTCTACAGTTACCAAGAAAGCTCTCCAAAACACATGCAGCAGACTAAGTTACATTTGCAGCATCTTTATAAGCATGTTTGTGTTTTCCGTGGGAGGTGCAAGTTTTGGACATGTCCCATTCTTGCATCTTTCCTTTCGATTTGCATCCTTGGCATCTTTCCCATCCTAGGCAGAAGCTTCATATTAATTAGCAGCTTTGTTTTAGCTTCAAGATGCATCATCATTGCATATTAATGGAAACAAACATATATATCCCAATTCTAGGAACAGAACAAAAGACTCAAAACCAATATAAAAGAGAAACAAACACAACAAAAATTAGCAGCACTACTCCCATATGTAGTTCCTTTCACTTGCAAAAGTGGGGGAGCATCCGCCCACATGCAGCACGATTTTAATGTAATAATCTACCAAAATTTCTTATTTGGTTGAAGCAGAGGAGTTCAATTAAAATGATCTGATCAATTGTGTGAGAAAGTTTTAATTGATGAAAGCTTGAATAGCTTTCATCAATTAAATCTGTTAAACCACATATTGACATACATAAATCCGAATGTATCGATGTATAATCCACAAGCACCAAATGCTGGTCCCAAACAAGTAACTAACAACCACAAAAACAAAAAGCAAGTGATTGGTGGCTCAGTCAAGACTTCAACACGACTAATAATTACTTACACGAAACAATTACGTCACCTTTTCCCCTTGATGAACTTCACAAAAGCCAAGTAACTTTTTGACAACAAGATCATCATCTACCACCAAGGATGTGGTGTCCACATCTGCAGATAATCCTTTGCCTGTCATCTCACTAATAAGTGGCACTGCCCTTGGATCCTTGTGCTGGAGAAGCCCTTGGATAAAAACATCATAAGAATAATTATTTCGTGGGCAGCCATCCTCTTCCATTTGTCTGAAAGCTTTGTATGCTTCATCTAGCAATCCTTCTCTGCAAAGTCCATTGATTATTGTAGTCAAAACCCGAACATCAGGCTGCAGGCCTTTGATAGATAGTTCTGAAAACAACTCCCTTGCGTCCTTAAGATTCCCAGATTTGCACATGGCATCGATTAAGATATTATAGATTCCCACATTAGACTTCAAGTAACTATTTTGCATTTCTCGCCTGATCAAGATACCCTTGTTTGCTTAAGCCATCAAACGAAACTGAGTAAGTTATTAAATTTAGAGAGTGGCCCTGGGCATGCATATCCTTGAAAAGCTTTTTTGCTTCTAAAATTCTCCCTGCAAGAAACAAGCCACTCATAAGAGTGTTGTAACTAACAGTGTTTGGAGTTACGCCTCGATTAATCATTTCAACCATAAGCAAGGGTTTTTCACCTGATGTTGTTACTTGTTATAACATTCTGATCAATGGATACTGTAAGACCAAGAGGATAGATGATGCGAAGCAGCCTCCTGACCCTAAGCTGATGATTCCTTGCCCTAACCCATTCTTGGCATCTTTCTCTTCATTTTCACTCTTCCATCTTTGCCACATCCTTAAATATCAGGCTTTGGACCCTTTATTACCAAATCATAATATTTGTTTTCAGCATCTTTCTTACCCCTTCTCTTCCAATTTTGGCACCTCTCGAGGTCAAACCCCACAATGGCTTTCCAGTAATGTTTGTCTGCCTCTTTATGGAGTTTCTCTTGGTAGGTCAAGTACAACTGCAGAACCCATTCATTTTTCACCTTCATAATAAAGCTGGAAGGAATGTGGAAAATGGAAGCAGATACATGCTCTTCAAAAGAAAGAGGGAGGACACATGGAAAAGTGGCTTTTGGAAATGTTACCTTTTCTCTTTCTCTATTCTGAACTTTGTTGGTTTCGCAAATTTTCTGCCTTTTTACATAAACAACTCATTATATTCTTCAGCTTCATTAACTATCTGATTTCTCATCTCTGCTCTTCCTCTGGGTGGATGCCGTTTTTCCTGCAAAAAAATATCAGGATACTGGAGTCTGTGAAATTTTTATTCATATACAGATTTCATGCCTCTATTTATCATCAATGCATAAGAAGAAGAATAACATGGTTACAGAAACTGTTTTGAACTTTGACTTCATCCACATGTGATCAAGCAAGAGCTGCAAACCAAACACCATCTAATATACTGGTACAAACTATGAATCAATTAAGACAAAACAAATACAAATTGCAAAAGTTAATGATAACAGACATTTGTTAAGATGGACAAATTGGTGATTCCAAATGACTTCATACATAACGGATCTCAAAGAGGAAATGCCAATCAAAATTATGCCAAAGATTATTTTTCAAATTCAAACTGTTTAATATTACCCCTAATCTTTCCTCGAGGTCACTCAATGCTTATATTTTCCAGTTATTTAAACTATAAGAATACATACTCCTGTAAATAACCTTCTTCAATAATTAATACCAACATAATTATCAATTTGAGAGTATCATGCATTAGAATCAGGACCAACTTGACAGATTTATCATCCTACTCTATCCTTTAACATCTTTGTAGACATATTTAAATGTGTAAGTATTAACTTGCATCAGGTGGATGCTAGTCCCAAACAAAATAATTACTATACCAAAGAAAAACAATATGATTTGTAGAATTATCCAGATTATAACTTAGAATGGAACGGAAAGCAACTTAATGTTATAATCTCAGGTTCAAACCAAGTTTAATGATTTTTTCCAGGACAGAATATCCATAATAAAGCCCGTGTAAGTGGCAGAAGCGATTAATAAGGATAGCAAGAGTATAAACATTCTGAGAGAGTCCTACTAATTCCATTTGTTAGGACAAAGAAACCAGAGTCTCATATTGTCTCATTCTGGCAATTGCAGACAATAATTTACTGAATTCATACAAATGGCCCGAACACCTAAAGGCAATCAAAATTATATAAAAAAGTCTTTCAAATAACCACATCCATTTGGATTCCAAATTTACAACAGCAGACATCAAGATCTAAAGTTATGTTCTGGAAAACATACATATATCCCAATTCTAGGAACAGAACAAAAGATCCAAAAACCGAGAAAAAAGAGAAACAAACAAAACAAAAATCAGCAGCACCTCTCCCAAATTTAGTTCTTTTCAATTGCAAAAGTGGGGGTAGCATCCGCCTGTATGCAGACATGCACCTTGACAGAAACCTTGAAATGAAGAAGTGATTCAATAATAATCCACCAAAATTTCTTATTTGGTTGAAGCAGAGGAGTTCAATTAGAATGATGAAACTTTAAATAAGTTCTCTGATCATTAATTAAATCTACTAAACCACAAATTGACAGACATAAATCTGAATGTACCGAGGTACAACCCACAAGAACCAAATGCTGTCCTAAACAAGTAACTAACAACCACACAAACGAAAGGAGAGTGATTGGGGGCTTAGTCCACACTTAGACAAGACTAATCATAACTTATATGAAACAGTTATGTCACCTTTTCCCCTTGATGAACTTCACAAAAGCCAAGTAACTTTTTGAGAACAAGATCATCATCTACCACCAAGGATGTGGTGTCCACATCTGCAGAGAATCCTTTGCCTGTCATCTCACTAATAAGTTGCACTGCCCTTGGATCCTTGTGCTGGAGAAGTCCTCGGATAAAAACATCATAAGAAAAATTATTTGGTGGGCAGCCATCCTCTTCCATTTGTCTGAAAGCTTTGTATGCTT